TTCCTTTTATTTGATATTTGTTTTTTTCGAGCGAAGTCTCGATTACATTCCATGGGGCATATTTTCCAAAATATTTTCAGGTTGATGGTGAAATATTCAGTATGTATCGGTTTTAAAGAAAGATCGGGGAACATTGTACGTAGGTGGAAATCGTCGGTTTCGATTAAACCGAGAAATGTTTCGTAATTTTACATGGTTGTATAACCAGCAAAAGCAGGTGATTGTAATTGAACTGGCAAGGATACCTATTGTGTCAGGTGTTTTGAGTCTACAAAGGCGTGAAAAATATTGTTTGAAATATTTTATAGAGTGTGAAAAATACTTGTCATCTCGCTTGCTGCACAATCTGTACAATAAACACTTCTAGCCTACAAATTTATACGTTCATCAAAACTAGTAACAATTGATTATTATTATACTGGATTCTAGTGTAGACAAAACAAAACGCAGGACTTTGCATCATTGCATCCAGGGCGGATTTAAATTTGCCTTTGCATTTATCCAATTGACCGGTCGCTGGACGAAATAATTAAAGCTTTGTAGACGCGTTGCATGGCATTTATTGATATCGAAAAGGCCAAATATGAAAACCTTTGACAACCGTGCACCTACTATTTACAATCGGTCATAAATTAAAGTTCTTTTGGAGGTAAAACGGGCGCGCTCCGGGGTAAATAAAATCTTACTACCTCAACCGTTTAATCGCCTGAAATTCATCCGCCGTCTGGAAAATTATTATCTCTTAAATTATAACCGGGATCTGGTCCATATTTCCGAAGCTTATCTTATAAGCGATTATTTAACTACCTACATAATCCAGACGTGCATTAAAATTGTAAATTAGAGATATTCTCCGTTATGGAGAACTCCCCGGTGGTTTAGGTATAGGGAATAGGTATGTACTGGTGTAATTCAAAAACTCGTTGGCTGAACATTTGCATGTCATGCTCATTAAATATTAATAATAATTAAATTTATTGATTAATCAATTTCAAAAGAATATTCTTTTGTCTGAATGTTTTTTTATGTTAAATATATGTCGGCTTTATCTATTTTATATGAGCTTGATCTCTGAGCCTTTTATTTTTAAATTCAAGTAATTGCTTCGACTCTTTGATCTTCTGGTTGGTGTTTCACGTATATCCGAATATTCCACCAACAAGAGCCTTTGTTAGGTGGGAATCCTTTCGATTTTCTCTCCGACCCACATCAAATAGAAGCGCGATTTAATGGAAACATAAGGGAATGATTAAACTTATTAGAATTTGGTGCCTTTATACCGCGGGCATTCTAGAGACCTTCCAAATGCGTCCCGTTAAATTCGAGTAAAGTCAAAAACTGCCGACGCACCTTTAAATTCAGTCCGTTTCCGATGCTCTCTTTTCCGTGGCATGAATGCGAAGAAAAATTACTGCCGCATGTGTGAGGAACGACCTAAAAGCGAATCTAATTTCCCGACTTTTGGATATATAAAACGCAAATTTCTACTGGAAAAGGTTCTCTTTTGCTCGTATTGTACGACTTGCATGAATTCACATATGCTTAAATCGACGGCAAATTACGCTCCATTTGTCAAAAAGTAACGAAGTAATTCGCCGGCTTTTTATCCAGAAATGAGACGAGGCTTGATGAAAATTGCTATGGAGCGTTTACATTGGCAAAACGAGGCAAAGGACGAACAGTTTATTGCTTTTTAACGTTGACATGGCATTTTACTTAATAAAGAATCATTCGCAATACGAGTAGTAGGTAATTTTAAAATTTAAAATTCGTATTCTGAGAAGGCAAATTTGTACCTTATATAGATGCTAATTTATCTGATGGTCTTATTTAATATTTGCAATAGACTCTCACGGTTCAACTAACTCTTCTCTGCTCGTATAATTTTTTAATCATGCTATCTTGTTAGTTTAATTTATTAACCGCCGGAGCGTTGAATTTCGTATCTATTTCGCTGCAGCTTATGCACATTAACGAACTAATTCCGTACGGGAAAATGGAGGAAAATCGCGTGAATCTGAAGCCCCCATTGTTTTATTTATTGCGCCCCCCCTTTAAGAAAACGAATAGCAAACACCGAAAGGCAAAGACGACAAACTTTTTATCATTCTCTCTATAAAACCGCTTTCATTTATTTTCATATAATAAATTGCCGGAGCTCCGCTGTATACGATTTATCATAAGGAATATTTGTCTCTGTCGCGCCCAAAAGAAATACGAGTTTATTAGAGTAATGAGCCGGCGTGCTTCTTTTGATTCATGCCCCCCCTTTCGAATCGTTCACTTTGACTCGAGAAAACTTATTGTTTCACATAATCGGATGAACAGTGATGAAGCGGATAATAAATTTGTCCGAAGTACGCGAAATTTCCCGTATGTACAAAACGGCTCGCATATGCAGTTATTTTACGTCGAGGAGATCATTAGAATCCAGAGAAATTACCTGCGGAGGTTCTCTTAACGTATGCAAATCTGAATCCGATGGGATTTCAGTTCTCAAGTAATTTAAACCTGCTCCACCTGATGGTCACATGAGTATTAAAATTTACTGCGTCGAATTAACTTCTTAACTGTCAAGGCTAATTTGATTTAATTCGCCATATACACCAAACTTTCGAAAAACAATTAAAATTTCATTAATTTTTAATTAGAAATTACCTTTACTCTGCATATATTCGTAATATTTGGTCACAAGAGAATCGGACATTAAAAATGTAAGCGGCTTTATGTGGTAACTACTCGCCTTCGTATAAACTTTATGAAGGTGGATTTATAAAATTTACGAAGCCGTATAGTTAGGTATTAAACGCAAAAAGAGCAATCAATAGTTGGCGGAAAGATCTGCGAATTTCCCACCGGAAAACATCCCTAACTTGTAGCCACTTTGTATTCACATCCGCAGAACCTTCGCAGCTACTTAAATCAAAAGGTTAAGAAGCGACATCAAGAAAGCAATTAAATATTCAGGCAATGCATACGGTGATTCAACACGTTCCCAACTTTGTAACGTTGAGCTTGATAATTCAATTAATACGCTATAATAAAGTAACAACGTTATACGAGACATTTCGTACTGAGTTAAAGAGATTTATGGAAGGTCGCCTCGGAAGCGGGAACCATTTGATTTTAAATTAAATTACTTTTAGGAGAAACTGGGGATGTTTTCTTGATTCCGGCTGATTTTCAAGGCAGAGAAAAGTCCGAAGGATTTTACTATCAGCTTTTACATATTCATTTGTATGCTCGAAAAAACAATTCAGCTCTAATAAAATTTAAATAACATCCACTAATACTAAGTATGTTGATTTAACTGAACGAGTTTCTTTATAAACATTATAAATATAAAATTCACTAAATGTAAATAATCAAGCAAAGGTTATCTTATATACTTTCCCCTTTCATCAAAATTCAGTAAATACTTCTTTTGTATTAATGCAGGCGTAATCTCATTTAGATTATAATGGATAAAAATTAACCGTTCACTTTACGAGGACAAATTCCATTATCGCATTTTAATAAATATCTTTAATAAGACCTGCCGTTCCATTCGAGATTCTCTCCGTTTTAAGGCACCAATTGAATTTTGATATTCTTATTAAAGATTTCCTCGGGGCTAATAACAATAAAACGATTCGAGAGATAACTTTGCCAGCCTCGAATCGGAGAAAAAGCGGAAAGATTAATAAAAAGAGATTATTTATACATGAGCGGGTTCATATTGGTTCTCAAAAGGAAAGTTTATAGGACGGGTTGTCGATGGAAAATGCTGAAGCCATCAGTCTGCTTCGATGGGTTAAAAAAGTGTTTGAGGCTTGTGAAATAAATGCGGTTGCTGAATTATTCTTATCGATAAAAAAAAAACTCAAATTGGAGTTTAATTCTTGTGGGAGTAAATTATGCTAAGCAATGATAATTTAATCTCTGAAATAATAAATTAACTCCTGCAACTTATAACAGCTTGGTAAAAAATCTAGGTTTTGGTAAAAAACATTTTTCAGTTTTCATATTATCTTTATGACAATCAGTCATTGTTCATGACATTTAGTCTAGACTAGGTGTTGTTAATGATATGGGATTTCCGTGTTTTCGAATATCGATATTCAAATGAATACATAAATAGAACATGATTTTCTCCTGCAGCAGCGAATCGCATAAACCCATTAGTTATTAATAAGAATCCATTGTGTGTATATATTGGTTTATGCTCCCTTGTGATTTCGATAATAATAGAAACATCTCCTTTCGGTAATTGGATTTATTTTAACCGATTATTAATTATCGAAATATAATTGTATCTACGTTGCTGCTAGGAGTTTAGAGGGTTCAATATTGATTAATAACGTACATAATACACTTATTGTCAGTCTCTAACTAGAGTTTTCGCAATATCGTGTGTGCTTGGTCGTAAAAAAATATTACCTAAATGAAAAGGTGTGTATGAGGTATGAAGTGAACGAAATCCTAATCCACTGCTTTCAGTCTCTTTTATTCCACGAGAACCGTTGGTAATTCTCATTAAGGGTTTACTACGTTATAACCCTTGAGATGATTTAATATCGTAATGGCGAAATCCTAATGATTCCTACATTTTTTATATATCCATTCGTAGAGAAAACCGCACACGTCCCGGCGCCGCATATGAAAAGGAAATAAAAACAGCGTGGAGCCCCTTGATTACGGCTCTTCCACAATAACTTTTTGTTTTTCCTTTTTTCGACAGCGAGCAATAAAACCTTCCGTCATTCCGTCTCCTTGCTCTTACAAAGAGCATTTCTTATGCTGCACATTGTAACAACTTATAGTGATCTTTTCGAAATGCGAGCGCACAATCTCTGCTCCTTCGTTTAATCCGATTGTTTGGATTTCGAAATTACTATATGTATCCACTTTTTTATATTAATAAAAGTATTACTTTAATTAATTTGTTGACTATAAGCAATTTTCACACTTTTAATCTACCTGAAATGTATAAACTGTATAAATTCTTTATTTGGTTTCAGAACTGTCTCAACAAAACCAAATTATTTGGATTCTTCAGAAAAAGAATCATCATCCTCCAATGATCTACTGAAAAATCGAAAAACTATAGGTAAGAATCCTTCTAAAAAATCCATTTATGGCAATTAGTCGGTAATGCATTAGAGTTGAAAGTAAAATTTAAACATTAATTCTTTCGGGACTAATGGACGAACCCGCAAATTTTTAACATCAATTTGCGGATTTACCCCGCATTTCGGTTTTGTATAATAAAATAAATTCGAACGAATGGAAATGTACCTACGAAGTGGATTTACGCACGTGCATTAATTTGCGAAATAAAGCGATTCGATTATTGTTTAAATGTATCGTTTTAATGTCGGTCTAAAATAGAACCGATTTTTTTTGGTTCTGTTTAATTTAGTGTTTATATGCCCTAATGCTGACGGTTTGTAACATTATAAAGCGAAGTGGAAATATGCTCCACGGTAGCAAATTAATATGTTTACGGTGACGAGGGTGAATTGTGTTCTTAGTGCTGTTAAAATGAAAAGAGCAACCCTAATGGTTAGGCATTTATTTACGTCATTTGCGTCAACTAAAATAAGTGCTCGAATGAGACACATTTTAATAAACTTAATGCGTCTACATCTACAAATACTTCGTTGTAAATTATTTTACTTTTACAGGGTGTTTCGTGGGTGTTTATAGGTAATTTAAAATTCCCCAGGTATAACGTTCGATGTCACCGCATATTCTGCATAAGAAGTTATTTCCTTAACACGGCACGCTAAAAAGACGTATATCCTGCAATAGCAGGAGAAATTCGCATTCGGAATTTGGGGAAGTGGCATTATTGACGCTTTGCCGTACCCAAACGATCTGCTCACGCAAACCGAGCTGCTACTTAGAATTCAGGATGCATTGTTATTTGAACAGACAGTCTTGTTGGACGCACCCCATTGGGTTGATTAAATAGACATGGTTAGAGAAGTAAAATACCCTTCACCTTCATTAAAATGCATGAACACCTCGTACGAATTATAAGGCTAAAAATATCGCACGTCCCCCGTAGGAAAAGTTAGATAATTTCCAACGGAATCGATGGAAATTTAAAATTACTAAAAGCTCGTCTAAACAATTAAACTATCGCGCAACTCCACTAACTTTACTAGCCGACTGTTAATTAATTAATAAATGATACAGAAACTATTGTCAGCGTCCTTATCGTGCACGGTGTGCACGCTAAAATTCGGAATGCAGAACTGGCCCTAATTAGAACTTGGAAACTATTATGGTTCATTTACTGGTGCACATGAATCGATTGCATTAATAGAATTCCTTCTGGAGAAACTCCGGGAAGGTTTATAAACGGAACCTGATGTGCGAGTGCCTTGTTAGGAAAGTTGCTAACCACAGAAGCTAGGTGTGGTAGTTTCGATTTCTGATAGAGATACTGATGATTCGTAATACAAATTTTCCAAAACAACCCACTCAAAATAGGGAATATAAAGAGAAATATAAATAGAGCGAATTTTCTTGTGTGTTTTCACAACATTTAGGCCCTAATATTAAACATTTTAATACAGCTAATTAATTTTTGTGTAATCGATTCCTTGAGTTATAATTAAAAATCTGGTTTTTAATTAACCATCCAATTGGCGGTATCATAAACAGGAAACAAAAATGTTTCTGGAAGCCAGATGGCGTATTTACTTACAAAAGTCTTCTTCTGAATTCAGTTAGACAACTTCGTTAAAGAATTTAAACAAACTCTTTTGATGTTGTTTAAAAACTTGAAATACGCTTTTATTATATTACAGTCGCAGTCTTGAGTCACTATTTCGTGCATTTTCAGTCAAATATACGTTTCTTACAGGCTTCCTTTTAGTCCGGTTCTGCGTTACAAATGAATTCAAGCGAGCTATTATTCCTAGTACTTTAGAAACGTACACTGGGAATTCACTGGGTCAGTATTGGGGATATAAAAGGATTTTGAAACGAACGAAATCGATCAAGTATAATAAAAGTTTTACCTAGCTATTTGGGGACAATAAGATGAATATTTGAAATTCAGGAGGTGGCCGGAATTTTCCGGGATAACGTTGCTTGGAAGCCGTATGTTATTGTAGAAAATCGTAATCTGTGATATATTTTTTATATCTAAGTTTAAGAAATACACGAGGGGAACATCCATTAATCAGAGCTGTTTCTCAAAAAAAATTAGAAAAAAGATTACTGTATTAAAAAATGAGAACTAAATTGCTATATTATAATGAGTTATGAAGAAAAACCTATTGTTTTAATACTTATAATTTAATACTAACATTGAAATTCGCCCATGCTTACAGTTTGAAATTTTTTGTACGAATTAAATTCCAATTTTTGTTGGGAATTTCACCAACATCCAATCATTGATCGTAGGGAGGAAATTGAATTTTCCAGCTCACAGCACTACATAGATTATAGTAAGAATTCAGCAGACTGGAGTAAACCAACGTGGCGTTAAAACTAATATTGTTCTCATACTCAAATTACTCTTGTTTTTTTTATTGCACGTAATCCACGGTTCCGGCGATCGGTCAATGTAGCTTTTTACGAAGCGGAAAATCAATTTGGGGTTGAAAGAAAGTCCGGCGAAATAACGCTCAGTATCCTAGAAATACCGTTTTGTCGTATCCTTGTAGGACGTGCATCTTGCTTTTCGGTCCTTCGCCGAACAGATTTCTACAAATTAATTCAGCAGGGGCGACGGAAAATCCTCTCTGACGAGTGAATTTAACAAGATTTAGGGCTGAAATTCATGAAATATTAAAATGTTCTGGTCACCTTTTTCACTCCTGACAGGGGGCATTTTCGAATAGATTTGCATGCCATACCGCTTTGCTACAGATTGAATATTTGACAAAGAACTGAATAAATGTTGGATAAATGTACGGGGTGCGCTTTTGTCGCGATGCGATTTAGTTACACTTTTTTTTCCTCCTCCCACCGAAGCCAAAGAGAATATATAGAATTGCGATTCGCCGGATGTAGGTGTTATCCAATACTGCAAATCGATTTAAAGTGTTGAAATAAATCTCTTCCGCCTATGTGGAAATCGTTACTTTCTTGATACACGATCCGAATTAAACGTAAAGCCGTTTTTCAACTTTAAAATATTACTTCCATTTCGAAAATTAGAACGCGAATGCAAATTTTTTCAAATGCAACTGTCTCTGATTTGAAATGGGATTAATTCATCAAATATTTAGACGAGACATTTTAGTGGAATGTACTAACGAAAAGTTAATCCCACTAATTCAAATCAATATATCATTAAAATGTTACGCCGGGTTACTAAAACGCTAATCAATAAAATGATGAGCCACTAATCATTTATCACCTGTAGTCTAGGATAGGAGGAATGATTAATGGTTCATCATTTTTGATTAGCATTTGTGGAATTGTATCAAGCACTTAACAGCAATTTTGAAAACACTAAAAATGTAAATAACTTTAGTACAGTGCAAATAAGTTCCTGGTTAGTAGATTTTTGCAAATTAAATAATTATAGGCTACTATTATTAAACCCTAAGGCATAACCTTTTACCTTACAACAAATTTCTAATATCAACTTTGACAAATGTTTAGATTGCATGCTAATGAAGCGCCATTTAAAAGACCTCCAAACACTCCTTATAATCCATTTAATCCTGAAGGCATCGGAAAATATTAAATTAGGAATTTCCCCTAAAACCGGACGAACGACAGTTGAATAGTAAATAAAGTTTAGCTACATTTTAATTAGATAGAAGAAGAGAGAATTTATTCGTCGGAAACAAATCAGAAAATTAAACCGTAAAAATTTACGGACGTTATTAATTTAACAAAGTCCAGAATAATAAATTTGCGTTCGTGAATTCGAGCAATTACGTTTAATTAAATTTAAATGCCGTTAATTACGTTATCACGTACCGAATTAGTCCCTTATCCCGCCACCTATTGAAACCGTAAAATATTTGTCCAACGGGCGGAATTAATTAGGTTATGGGTATTTATTAGCCCGAATTACGGCGGGTGTGATATTTTAAATTATTATAAATAACCACTCGAAAAGCAACGTGATTACAAATAAGCGGCAGCTGAAAGGATAATATTTTGTTTCGCCATCAAAATTACGCGAATGAATTCATTTTGTTAGCTGAAAAACGATTCTTTTTGAACCCTTTGAAATGACGAATATTTGATTTGATGTGAAAATTGCATAGAAAAATCTTTTTAGCAATTTTTTAATTATAGGGAAAATATGATATTTATACAATTTCGTTCGGCACACATCCTTTTTTTTCTTCTAATCACCATCAGGGTAAATTTGTTTTATTTGACTACAATAATATTGATTCCATCAGCACATGTCCATTTTTTTGCAAACAACCAATGAGTCAATCTGCATGGCAACTTGGGTTTATACATAACAAATTCCCCGATATTAAATCAATCGGTACGAATATTTCCATCGTTTTTGGCGATTAATACCGCCCCTTTAACACTATTATCTCCGGGAAATTCATTCACGAAATCATAAATCACGAATTCGTCGTCGACTCGGTTAACCTCAATTAAAACTTTGGCAATATCTCGCGATTCTCCCACCGATGGGCCCCGCCGATTCATTGACCAAAAGTTTCCCGCTTTTAGTTATACACACTTCCCGGAATGACTTATTGATAGCAGCCGCTTCCGAACTAATTAATATGCATAATAATAGTTAATAGACGCGCCACCGGATAATATTGATGATAATTGCGCCGCTGGGAATATTATTTATAAATCTAAATTTACGGTGATACAATATTCGAAATTCGTTTGATCAATTCGGTGTAGCGCTTTTAAAGTTTTAAAAGGAAAATTCCAATTTCTGTTTACAGGGTGATACGATTTTGCAGGTATTTGGAGCGTTCTGTTTGAAAATCTTTTCATTAAACATAATTTATGTATGATTTAATTTGGAACGTAAAGGAAAAATTTTCCGCTGAATAAAATCGGTTCATTGCCGTTTTCTTTTGATAATGACGGATTCATTTAAGTACACGTTATTAATTTCCATTTTGTCGAAAACGGGCTAATATTTCCCTTTCGGAAAATTAAGATCCCTCTTATTAATTCAATATGTAAACAAGAAATATTTCACTCCCCCTTTGTACCACTTTCCGGCCGTTTTCTCGTTGACCTTACGATCTTTTGTTCGGTTTGAAAAATCGATTTCGACTTCTAGCACTCTTTGAAGGCTTCATTTTCGGCTTTTATTAACATTCCCCACTTCTAACTACATTCAAGATCTCGTGAAATTTTATGTCTGTGTGGAATGGAGATCCGCACGATGTCGAGCATCCACCGAAAGAACGGCATATCTAACAGCATACTAAATCAAATATAACGAGCTTAAAGAGAAGAATTTTAGATGTAAAAGGGCTTTCGGCGAAATTTGTGACGACTATTTTAAGGAGATATTGTTCCAACTTATATTTACACAACCACCTAACCAACGAGCTGAATTCGCTTTAAATTAATCCTACCTACACCTACATGAAAAATAAAAATTTTACATTTTACATCTCTGAATTTTTCTCGTTAACAAGCTAACTTTTTTAGAAATAGAAGGATAACCGTGTTAGCAAAGGCCATAAATTTAAAAACTACATTCACATCGAATCGAATGTTCACACTAGAACAGTTTTTTATACGACGTTTTGTAAGCATATGATGATTGATTTTTTAAGGAAATTTCGGCTGAATGCGAGCAAAGCTCGACTTTCCCGTCCTTATTAATCCTTTGAGAGGGCATTAGAGTAGGATCCAGTAACATGTGACCGAAACGAAAACCTCGGGGAAAAACTTATCTCGCTTCGACCGCGGATCAATAAATTTCGGAAATAATATTAAAACATCAACCCGGATTATTTAAACAAGTTAATCCCGTCTAATGAAACCTAGCTAATTTAGCCGGTCGCGGAAGCGGCGATAAGATCCTCCGTGCTAAATGGAATTCTGCTCGAGTTTAAAAAAATCGCCTGCAATCACAAAATCGAAGTTGCGCGATAAAGGCCGAGCAATTTCCATGAAAATGGAACGAACTAGAGCAGGAAAGGAAAAAAAACACACACACACACACGTCGAAAGGATCGGTGTGCGGAAAAAATGCTAATGCCGGAGTCTCTCATCTGTACGAGCTCTCACACAAAGAAAAATTAGAGTTAAATTAGGGTCGGCGATTAATTCGTGACGTTACGGATTTGGTGGCGAGCGACTCGTTTCCACCGAACGCGGGAATTACGCCGTGCACTCTCTTTCACCAACCCGCCGAGTCTATTAACTAATTACAGCTTGTCTTAATTGCAAAAATAACCCGAAATAGAGCGAAACAAAGGGCTAAATTCTCTACAGAAACACGCCAACTTAAGAATGAGAATCTAATGAAACTGCTACAATTAGTAACCCAGATTCCTATCCCACCTCTTACTCCCGCAGAAAATTCGTATTCAAGTGACTTTCGTTCTGAAACCAAGAGTTTATTTACGGATTTATGAAAACAATGCAACCCCACCGGAACTCTGTTTTAACACCATTAAGTTCAACGTTGGGGAATGCAATAAAGTCTAGACGAGCCTCATACGTGAGGCACAGACGGATCTAATGGAACAGTGACATTACCTCCCGAAACAATTTTGACGACGTAATGTACAAATTCCGTGCTGTATAAATCTCTTTAAACGTGTGTCCTGTCTGAACAAACAACTCCCTTCTCGGTTCAACATGCCGTTGTTCGAGCTGGGAAATCTGATATGGAGTGTGGAATTGAAAGGCAGGAATCTAATTAAACTTTAGAAAGATTTTTTTAAAATGTAGTTACCTACTATTACCCTGTGTAGGTGGACTCTATACGATATGATATTAAACAAGCTTATTCATGTTGAAAGTTTCTATCTGAATAGATTTATTCGAGCGAATAAAGCAGATATCTATAAAATATTATATCTAAAAATGCTTTTGAGATGATTTTTATTATATAGCGAGTGATGTAGTAACCATAGAGACCGGCGATACTAAATGGAAATGCGTTTGATGAAGTGATAAATGTATACAGATGACCTGAAAAGGTGTAATAATATAATATTTTATAAAATAATTCCGTTAATACAGAGGTGATTGCGCAATGCTTGGTAATGTAGTTTCCTCGACCCAAGTAGCTTTTCTTTTTGGGTCGTATCGAATCAACGATTTGATTTTCTTGTGGATTTGTTAAAAAATCCGGTTCAGTTTTTCTTTCGAACGGCGCTGTCGGCGTTCAAATCGTAATAGAAAACTAACAAAAATGTTCGAATTTCTAACATTGCTTCAGATACGAAGTCGAAAAATACAGTTTGCTTGTGAGGCCAAGGGCGTATTCGACGCTCGCACGTGTTGTTATGATGCCTGTAGGGCGATTAAAAAGTTGCCAGTAAAATTACCGGGGTAGAAATTTTTCTAAACTGCTGAAATCGAAATATTAGCTTTTATATCTACCTACCGAGCGGATAATCTGATTTTTTTAAACGAAATCAATTTTGTTTCAGAAATATGAAGAGTTTCCTCTTGGCGTTTCTGCTTGCTGTTGCACTCGAAGGTAAGTGTCTCGTGAAATTTCATCAGCTTAATTTCGAAAGAATAAACGGAAATAGAACATTCCCTTCAAAATTTAAAACATTACCGCGATAATGCGGCAAATTATAAGAATAATATTAACATTTTAAAATTAGTTTTGTTAATCGTGGCTCTGTAATAAAGAAAACTTCAAGCATTCGAGTCCCATTTAGAAAGTTTTTTAATTATCTCGTTTGAAAGAGAAGTTTCATACAAATTTAAAAGAAGTTCGTTTCTTAGTGATTAAATATTTTCCTTGGTATTTACTACTCCTGTTAAGAAGCAAAATAATTAGCGGTAAATACTCAACATATTATCGAGTTATGGCATATTATGACGAGTTAATTAAGCATTATTTTTATAGTTTTTATTTTTAAATATCTTTTACTGTATAGTGAGTGCACATGTAAATAATGATTTGTATTCTCTTTAAATTCTTACTGAAAAATCTTACTTCCATATTTCTAAAAAACGATCTCAAACTCCGATGCGTACTTACGAAATTTTAAACCTATATAAGTCCCTAAAATCCCCATCTCTCGTTCGGCGATGATGTTAAAAAGGTGTCGCGCCAGAAGAGCATTTTTCCACTAGCGTCCGGAATCTCCCTAAATAAATTGGAAGTTATAGAGCACTTAATTTCTTACTATTAGAGTTCGTAAACATCAGATACTTCGCGCGTTCGTAAATATCCTTCCGCAAATCTATAAATTAGGGACGATTTCTTCCCGAGCAATTTCTAAGTAGTGTTAAGACTAAATTTAAAGTTGGAAACCGATAAAATCGCTTCTCGGGCGATAAATTTCCACGAAAGTACAAGGCGAAATAAATATAGTCATTAAACGAAGAGTTAACCCTCGATAAGTTCGTGTTTTAATGTTATAAAAACCATTCGGATTGTTACAAAAAAATCTTGTATTATAAATTTTTGATGTAATTTAATTAACGGAAGTTTGGAGGAAGAGGAAAAAGTTCATATCACGTTGTTTCTGTTTTAATAATAAATTATTAGTATAAACTTTGTGTGGAAAATTTGATTCCGTAATTTTAAGAGGGAAGTTCCACTGCGCTAAATAATAAATCGTATTATTTGAAACAGAATTACCGGAAGAAGTTGGGCAAAGGAAAGGGAAAGAAAGAAAATTCCTAGTTGGAAACTCTGAATAAATTTTCATCGTCAAAGAATCAACGAATATCTACCTAATGTAAAGATGGCGACGAATTTACTTTTGGCAAGCTTAATTGACTTTTCCAAAGCTTTTGTCACTGCCTCCTCGGAATAACAAGGGTATTTTTTATTTCATCGCCCCCGGAGTCCGGAGTCGGGCGGTTACGCTCATAAATATATTCATTTCCGTTACAATGAAAATAATTCCTGTGATAGGTTGTTCGAAAACATTCGGAAAATTACGGGAAAATTTCAAAGAAAACTTTATTTTTTCAACTGCCCTTTTTCGCATAAATCGAATTAACATATCTACTGCTCAGCGTTCCCAAACTTTGAGGATTTTTTGCATTTACTTGCATAAAAAATGTCGCTTTTATGAATGAATAGGAGATTTATGCAACCTTTTGCTTTGCTTAGGTTTCTTACAAGATACATTTTTTGAAAGGTTGGCTTCGGAGTTTCGTTTTAAATACGCGCTTATAATTTTCCCCCTAATTTACTGATAATTGATATTAAAAATATATCATAAAATGGAAAACCTTTTCACCATTTGACAACGCTAGTACAGATAAAAAACTGAGTACACACCCCTCCTGAATCGAGCCCGAGTCTCGCTCCCTACCCTACACTACACCTACCCTAGATCGAACTGATAAATTGGATTTTCATGATTGCATTATGTAAATGTCGCAGTGTAGGAGCCAATTTATGTCGTGCAAAGTGATCAAACAGAGAGGAGGATATCGGCAACATTAGCAGCAATCGCCATTAATACTGATGCGCTGCTCCATATACAGCAGGATTCTCGCTTTGTGATAAACGTACAGAACTTCTTACAGATAAAATCAAATATGATGTTTCATTAATAGCAGATCCTGTAAACAATTTCTTTCGACATTTGTTGTAGAGAAATAAGAATTGAAGATAAGCATGCGACATAAAAAACAAGAAGATCTGTTTGAGGAATAAAAGTGAAGATTGGGAGGGCATTGTTCTAGCCCAATTGAAACATTCTCGTCAGATTAGCCGAATGGCAGACATTTATAACGCAGCCTTCCCCCGGTTTTATCGCGTAATTTCAGGATTGAACGAACACACTCTATTTAATTTCTCGAATTGTTATCCCTAAAAGGGCAATTAACTTTTTTTCGTCTGTTTACGGCGTCGCCTAAAGAAAGCGGGGATTTCGAAGGATCGTCCCGCGAAAAAGATAAATAGCTCCTTATAAATCTCCGGCGAAAATAGTTCCCTTCGATGAACTTTCCATGCCTTAGCGCGGCCGAGCCGAGTTTTAAACGGGGAATTCGAGAATTTATTCCTGGTTTGAACTTGTTTACAAAACATTTTATATTAAAGTTAACTAACTTACAAGCACGCAGATTAATGTTCTGCGGTAACAACTTGTCTCCCCAAAGTTAACAAATTGTTTGCCAAACAATCGTTATGTAGGAGGAACTTTAGCTATGTAGAATTATGCTTTATTTTTTGGAATAATATCATGTGGGTGCGCAATTTCATGCCAACATACTAATTAATAATTTTAGTAGGTACTATTTTATTGACTAAAAAAACCACTCGACAAAGCAAACATAAGCTGCAAATATTGTATAGAAAAACAAAGAATATTTGAAGAGTTACTTACCAGCAGGCAGTTTATCAATATTTAATAAGCATCGTTCTATATTCAGCAGCCATCCTTGACATCGAAATTTATTGCACATCCGACGTATTGTTCAATAGAACTCGAACGCAGCGATTGCAATGGCAATCGATGAGCTGTAAATTGGTTCGAAAACTTCACCGGCAATGGACCAGCATATCTATATAGCACTTTTATCATATTCCGATTCGGTAAATAAAACCGAATAGTTTCAAATACCGATGTCAATGATAGGTTATTACCTTCACCACGTATTGTTCTCACCACTAGCTTTTGTTATTTTTTTGAATTAAAGCGGAATTTTGAATACTTATACTATAGGTTGTTCGATGTGGGATTATTGCATACGTGCTTTCTACACGTTATTCTTAATAATAATTACTCACTCAGGATGATAAATGGCAGGTGAAATAACAGCCGAGAGGCAGATAATCGCCGTTTCGAGTTAACGCTCTCCGTGGGACTAATCCGGAATAAAATATCCTTTTTGTTTGACTTTAACTCGTAATGAAAGTGGTGTCGTTTTCGAAATTATGGATGCAGAGCTCCCTTTTGTGGAGGAGTCCCGTTTCATTTTCCTTCGCCGGCTTTCCGTGGAATTTTATTCTTTCGCGTGTTTTTTATGGTAGGAAGTTTCGTGAGGCGCATTTTTATTAGAACGTATAGAAGAATTTCTGGGACCGTTGTTGCATCGAATGCATTTCACAAACCAGAATTTCGGGTCGGAGTAAAACCCATTAGATAATCAGAGTAGAGATTCTGTAGAGCGAAAACTAAATAAAAGCAACTGACTATTTCAAAGGATCTTGTGAGGCAAAATAAAAGCTCCAAACACCAAGTATTAATTAAGGAGATTATATCTAAATAGTAATAAATATTGGAGTATAAAAAGTATATATTCATTTTGGGGATTGAAAATAAACCAATTTCTTAAACAACAAACGAAAATTGGTACTAAAACTTCCCATACAACTTTTCCGCTTCAAACAAATTTGCTTTCCTCCTCTCGAAATTATCAATTTAGAATTTAGGAGACGTCGCTTATTAAACTTTTAAATTTTAAATAGCTTTTCCGATCGAAGCGCTCAACTTTTCGACGTAATGGGGATACTTAGCGGCATCTGTTTGTCCTATATCGGCTTCTAATTTCACCTGAAACGCCCGGCTCGGCCACATATTGGATGGAATTCGAAATGACTTCGCAAAAGCGCGTTTTATAATTCAATTTGTTGTTTAAATAAGAATTTCTCTCGACGCAATCGGTTTTGCAAGACGTAATTTCAATTTATATCCTTTAGGTACCGGCCGAAGTGGATTGGAAATGGTTTTATCTAAACTCGTAGAGGTAGCGCGTTTACTTAGTTCACATTGGATATTTTAATTTAGTGCTAGTGCAACCGACAATAGCTGGATCGATGGATGGAAAGAAAGTAAATCACTCTGGAAAATAAACAAAATTCGCCGAGTAATTTTGAATTAAAATAAGAAGGTATCCTAAACTATTGTAAATCATATTACATTTTGGAGTGATTAAACGATTCCATTAGAAATTCCTTCAACATAGACCGCTTTTACTTAGTCCCGATACGTAAAAAACTCCGCATCTAAATGTATGCAACCGTCGGCGACATTTTCCATAACCGGAAAGTTTGGGAGACCAAAAATTTTTATCCTGCGAAAGTTTTCCGAACTTTGAATTGGTATTTCCTTTTGGAAAGTTTAGCAGGTAATATGGAAACTCCATCGAAATGTCTTGCCGGGAGCGCGCGAGTGTTTTGCGAAAGTTGCAACTTATGAGACTCCTCAGATTATAGGGATATCCTTTACCATTATGAAATCGAAGTTTCGGCTGCTAGATTGAATGTTTAAAGGGATATTTGCGCCTCTCTATTCGAGCATTCCGTGGGGATTATGCGCAAGTAATTTATGCTTAGCGATTACAAATTAACTCGTGAAAGCAGGTATTTTTGCTGCCCGACAAACCGACCAAGGGAAATAAATTCTAATCCGTTTATCACGGTTACGGATGAGGCTATAATCTCCAACAGATTTGCGTGCAAATAATTTATCACTACGAGCTTTTTTGTGTGGGTCACTGCAATATCACAACACGGAGCGCCGCCGCTTAAAAATTCACCGTACTGTTATGTGTGTG